CTCCTGCCCTCGGGAGATGGGGACAGGAATTGTCATCCCAGATGGGAACTTTTCACCTCTCTGAGCTCCCCACCACTGCTCTAGGCTCAAACCCCTTCCCTTTGGGGCTGCTCTCCCTCGGAGCCAGCGGGGTGTGGGGACACAGCTCCAAAATCAAGAGAGGAGCCCAAACCCCCAGAGATTGACACCAAAGCCACACAGTGCCGTGTTTTTCACGATGTTTCCACCTCCCCCAGGTGGGAACCCCGCTCCCAACCTTCCCCTGAGCCTGAATTAGGAAGGTGAGGGCGACATGGGCTGGTCCAAGCCTGGACCAGCTTCTTCCAGCAACACCTGTGGCACACTCAGCATTCCTCCCACAGGATCGACATGTCTGAAATTGGATTTAGCCATGGTTTTCCTGGCGATATCTCCCCTGGAAAAGGATGGCAGCACTCAATCCATCTTCATTCCATAGGAGGAAGGAGTCTCAGGGCTGCTGGGTACCAGGCAATGACTTGGACAAAAATAACCCAACACATCTCCACTGCTTTTTGTAGGCAGAATCCAGCTGGGCTTGCAGGGATGTGGGTGGCAAAGGGGACACTATGAGCCACCCTTTTTTTGGGGACCTTTTTTGGTGACCCACCCTGATAGAAATCATCTCTGCAGCAAATGGGGAAGTCCTGGGTGGCTGAGGCCGGACAAGGACTTTAAAAAAAGGAAACAGCACGAACGAGGTGTGAATTGAGTGGTTACCTCAGCGTCAGCGCCGGCGTGGAGATGGAAAAGCTGAACCGACCATGCTTGAAAGCGGAGAAGAAGAAATCAAACAAAGGGAGAAGAAGAAATCGAACAAATCCTTGTTAGAAACAGCCCTGACCCGGCAGAGCTGCTCCAGTGCCGGGTGTGCCTTTGGCCGCCCCGCGGCATTTATTGATCCTGAGAGGCAAATGCCGCAGCATCGATAAAGCAGCGGCTGGAAAAGCAGCTCTGCCCCGGGGGCAAGCGGCATTTCGGGGCTGTCCCGGTGTGTCCCGGGCTGTCCCGGGGTGTCCCTGTTTGTCTATGTTTGTCCCGGGCTGTCCCGGTGTGTCCCAGACTGTCCCGGTGTGTCCCTGTGTATCCCAGTTTGTCCCGAGCTGTCCCGGGCTGTCTTGGTGTATCCCAGGATGTCCCGGGCTGTCCCGGGCTGTCCCGGTGTGTCCCGGTTTGTCCCTGTTTGTCCCGGGCTGGTTCGGAGCGCAGTGCCGGATTCAGCACCACCATTCCCGGTCGGGATTTCCCCAGGAATGCTCCGCTCTCTCTCAGGAATGCCTGGCAGGGGCTGCAGAGTCCCCCATTGGGGACATCCCAATCCTACCAGAGGTTCCGAGGTTTGGGAGGTTTGGGATGTTGGGAGCGCCTGTAAATATTTTGAAGCGGGCACAGTAAATATTTTGGAGGGTGGCCCCGATGGGCTCCGGCAGTGCCCAGGTTTGTCACCTCCCCCTGTGCAGGAGCGGGATCTGCCCCATTTATCCAAGCCTGGAGCCAGAGCTGGGTGTGCAGGCACGGAACTCCTCATGAAACAGGGGGGGAAAGGGAGGAAAAAGGTGTTTTCTATCCCAGATAATCTGTGGGATCAGAGGAGTTGTGGGGCCACCCCAGAGCAGAGACTCTGCCCACGTCCCGTTCCCTTCTCTGCATCCACCACGCTGGGTTGATGAGCTGGGAATGTCATTCCTGGCCCTCTTTGCCGGCAGCATCCCAGTATTTACCTCGGAGTCTTTAAAATGGGTTTTCCCAGACCGATAAACGCTGTTTTGTTTTCCTTCCTGTTTTCCAGGGAATATTTTCTACCCTTAGAGGGCTGTGCTTGCCCCAGCTGCAGCAGGAGCACCGTGGTGCGTGGGGATAGCAAAAGGGATGAGGGAAAAGATGGATCCAGACAGCGAAAGGCGAGACAGGGGCTGAGGCAGAGCAGAGCCAGAGACATCTCTGCTCCTCGAGGAGGATAAATCGGAAATTTGGGTGATGACAAAAGGTGCTCAGCTCTGCCAGACAAACACAAACCCCGTTATCCACCCCCGCCACCCCTGGGGCATCACCCTCACCTCTCCGTCATCCCAAACAAACTGAGGTTGGTTTCTGGGAAATGCCTTTGGGGAAGAGCTTTGGGGAGGCGCTCTCCGTGCCCAGCAGGGCAGGAGCAGCACCCCAAGGCAGGGCAGTGTCCCACATGTCCCGGGGTGCCCTCGGCATCCCCAGCCCCGCGCTGGGACACGGCTCCAGCACAGCCTCTGCCTCTCCCGCTGCTTCCCACCAGCCGCCAGCTGCCTGCAGCTGGGGAGCGCCCTGGGATTCGCAGGGGCCGGGGGGAGAGGGGGCTTTGTAAACAGCTGCAGCCAGGCAAAATCCACCAGGGAAGCCCCTCGCTGGCCCCTGCCTTTCCCAGCCCAGCACAGAACATGAGCTGCTGCTTTGGCACCGAGCGCTGGGAAGTGGAGCCACCTGCCCACCCCCGCCCAGCCCCTTGGGCCCCAAACACCCCCAAAAACCTGCACAGAGGGGTTTATGATGCAACCAAGCAGGAGCTGTTTGTCGGTGCTCTGAGGGTTTCCTCTATGGCTTTATTTTCTCTATGGGTGGCTCTTTTTTGGGGTGGGGTAAAGGGGGTTTTGGCTGGTGGTCCCCAGGGCCAGGATACAAAACTGCAGGGCAGGGGGAGGATATGGACCATGGGAGACACTGCAGGATGCTGTGGCTGTCCCTTGACCCATCCAAAGGACATCCCAAACCCTCTCACCTACTCTGGGGCTCCTTCCAGGAGGCCTGGACACAGCCTGCCCAGGGGATCAGGGTGCAAAGCCAAATTTTGGGAACAGCCTGTCCATCAGCCCTAACACTGGAGGCCGGAGCTCAGGAAAAATCCCAAGCCCAAGTCGGTGCCAGAAGCACGGCCTGGGAGCACATTTTTTGTTTCCCAGGGCTGGGGAGGGGATGAGGGGATGAGTATCACTTACCCTCTGTGCTTTGGGACGTGGCAGGGGACCAGGCCCTCCCCCTGGCCCTGGGGGAACCTCCCCCATAAAAGCAGCCGGGGCAGGCTGGCCCCAGCACAGGCGGCTCTGCCACTGCCACAGCCCAGCATGAGGACAGCAGCCAGGGTGGTCTGTGCCCTCCTCATCCTCTCCACGCTGTGCTGGCACAGCCTGGCTCAGAGTGAGCATTGCCCCGACCCCAGGGGCTGGGGATGGGGACAGAACTCAGGGCTGGGGATGGGGACAGGACCCAAGGCTGGAGACAGGGACAGAACTCAGGGCTGGGGACAGGGACAGAACCGAGGGCTGGGAATGGGGACAGAGACAGAATCCAGGGTTGGGGAATGGGGACAGAACTCAGGACTAGGGACAGGGACAGAACCCAGGGCTGGGGATGGGGACAGAACCTAGGGCTGGGGAATGGGGACAGAACTCAGGGCTGTGGGGTTGGGTTTTCTTATGCACAGGGTGCAGGGGGATCCCCCCAAAGAGCTGCCATTGCCATGGCAGGAGGGCTGAGGGGGTTCTGGGGGTGTCCAGGCTCAGCCAGGCTCGTGCTGTCCCCCAGGAGCTCCAGCCATGCCAGACAAGTGCTGCTTCAACTTCCAGACGAGAAGGATCAAGAGGGACAACGTGGTGGCCTGTTACCCCACCAGCCCCGAGTGCCCACACCAGGCTGTGATGTGAGTACCCAAAATCCCCCCCTGCATCCTGCCACACCCCTTGCCTTGCTTTGGCGGGTGCAATCCCCGTCCCCTGTGCCCCTGAGCCCCCCAGAAACTCAGTGTTGGGGTTCCCACTGACCCCAGCTTCTCTGTGCCCAGCTTCAGGGTGAGGAATGGGAAGGAGATCTGCACCCAGGCCAGCAGGCCGTGGGTCAAGAGGTACCAGCAGAGCTTCCAAGTCAGCTCCTTCTCCATCCCCAGCTAGCCAGGGGCTAGCTCCATCTCCACCCCTGGGGTGGCCGGGGACAGCGGGGACGCCAAGGCACAGGGGACACTTCTGGATGGAGCAGCTCACAAGGGACATCCTCCCCATCATGGTGACCCTCACCACCTCCCTGAAGGCAAAGGGAGCCCAGCAGGATGGAGTGCCCAGACCCTCTGTGGTCCATGGAGAGGCTGCAGCAGGCGGGGGGTGAGGGGGGAGCAGCTCCACCGTTGTTTTCTGTAGACACTGAGCAGAATTAAACGTGGTTCCCACATGCAAACATCTGTCTGTGCGAGTCTCTTGGGGCTGGGCAGATCCTGCTGCCGGCTTTCCTGCCCAGGTGCTGGGATCAGCAAGGAGCCAGGAAGAGCTGGAGCCTCAGCCAGGTCTCTGTGAGGATGTCCAGGGGTGAATGGGGCCAGACCAAACCCACGAGGGCTTTGGGGAAGCACCAGAGGGACAACGAGCCTGGGAGGAGAGGCTTCCTGTGCTCCTCACCCACCATCCTAATTAACATCCCACATCCTATCAGGGATGCCTGAGACAGCCCAAAATCCCAGGGTGCCACCAGAAAACGTGATGGGCGCTGTGACAGCGGCAGAGCCACCACGATGAGCAGCCAGCAATGGGTGATGGAGAAACACCCGGGGACAAGCCCGGCCACCACCGAGCCACACACCCCAGAGCAAGGAGAGGCCTCACAGCCAATGGCGAGGGCTGATCTTTGCACAGGAACTGGCAAGTGTGAGCATCATCCTGTGCTGTCTGCTGGTGGCCACAACCCAGCCCAAAATAGACTCCCAGCCCCAGCATCACCACTGCTCCCACACTTTCCAGCAGCCCTCAGGTGTCACGGTAGCCCAAGGGGCTGCCAGGAGGAATTTCCCTTCACCGCTCACCCCTCAGGGGGAGATCCAAGCGGTTCTTTCCAGGGGGAGGGTCCAGAGCTGTCATGGAAAGCCTGGCAAGGGTTGTTATAAATCACACAGGGCTGCACAGGAGGGCACACAGCTCTTGGTGGCCTCAGTGGAATCAGAGCTGCTGGTGCTGCAGAGCCTCGGTGTGGACATGAAGATCTCAGTCCTGCTCCTCCTGCTGCTGGCTGCTGCCTGGACTGGAAGCCAGGGCAAGTCCTGTAAGTACCAACAGGGAGATTTTCCCCCCTGAGCTGTCCCAGCTCCTCCTCTGATGGGATTTGGGGCTGGGGAAGGAGAGGAGGGTGCAGCTCCTGATGGGGTTATGGGGCATCACCTGCCTGAGCATGGAGCTGCCCTGGATTTGTTCAGAATGAGTAAAAACAGGGTTGGTTCAGCCCCAGAGTCGCAGCTGGGGAGCTCCATGGGCTCCTACCCTGGAGCAGAACATCACCCTGGGGCTGCAAGATGTTCCCTTTGTGGGATGAGGCAGCAGGAGCAGAACCCACAGCCCTGGTGCCAGGAGTGGGGGAGCACTGAGCTTCCTCCTGCTCTCAGTCCGCAGCTCCAAATCTGACTGCTGCTCCGCGGAGATGTTCACACGCAAGAGAATCCACGAGTCCATGATCCAGGGCTATCGGTACACGCCTTCCAGCTGCACCCACAAGGCTGTTCTGTGAGTAACCCCAGTTCCCACCCAGCCTTCCTCCCCCCACCCCATCCTCACCTCGCTCACCCTCCTTCCCCACCAGCTGCTCTGCTTTTGGGGAGTCCCCAAAAACGAGTCCTCCTGCCCAGGGCGCTGTGGGTGGGGCTGTCCTCACCTGGCTGCTCACTCTCACCTCCCTCCCTGCTTAACCCAACAGCCCCAAATCCAGTTCTGCTGCCAGCACTTGCAGGGAAAGGGGGGGCAGGAGGCTGCAGGAATCCCTGTGGGATCCTCACTCCAGGGCTGACTCGGGATACTCTTTACCCCAAAGTGTGGAGCTGATGAAGGGGAGCATCTGTGTGAACCCAGAGGAGAAATGGTTCCAGAAGTACCTAAGGAAGCAGGAGAAGCAGAAGAAGCCAAACGGCACCTCCATGTGAAGCTGCCTTCCTCCCCAAGCTCTATTTATTTTATCCCGAATTCTCTCTGTGTTTTCCTGTCACTCATTAATGTACGGAGCTGGCTCCATCCCCTCCCCTGCCCCACACATGAACTCAATAAACCCTCTTGTGGTCACCTGGAGTGAGATTTAATCCCGGGGACAAAACGGGGCCCATCCAGGCTCAGCCTTCCCAGTGAGAGGAATGATGGATTTGTCTTTACAAACAAGCTGTGGGTCTGCTGGGAGATAAAACCAGCACTGAGAGAGAAAAAACAATGGGAAGGATCCCACTGATTGATGAATGGAAAAAAAGATATTTGCCTTTACAAACAAACTGTAGGTTTGCTGATAAATGAAATTGGATATTGAAAGATGAAAGAAACTATGGGGAAAACCATGAATTCTGTAAGAATTAAAAATTAAAAGGAAGGGTTGTACATTAGAGGATAATCTCAGGTATCAGGTGTTCTGGGAAGTCTGAGCCTCTCAAGTACCTCAGCAATGGGGAAAGAGAGAGGGAAATGCAGCTGGGAAATGAGGATTGAAAGGAGGCTGCGTCCTCCAAAAATCAGAGAGATCCCAGGGAAATGCCCCATGGCCTCTCCCTTTATTCCAGTAAAGTTACAGGACTCCTCTGCCTCCTTTTTGGACATAAACCTCTGGTGTTTGAGGATTAATTTTCCTGACACCAGGAATAGTCCAGGAGCCCCTGGGAGCACAGGGAAACCCAAAGGGCCCAGCTCCCTCCAAGGTGAAGCAGCCCCTGCCCAGCTGTGGGGTTTAAGGATGGATGGGGGTGGAGGCAAGGCAATGGGAAAAAGATTCCTTTGGGATGTTTGAGGGGATTTAGGGGCTGGCTCTGTCCTTTGGGAACACCACTGGTGACAGCCCCAGCTGGGTGTCACTCCTTCCCACCACTCCCTGGGCCATTGGCCAGTTTGTCAACCAAACTGGGCACCCATCCAAGCCATGGGCAGCCCGTTTATTCAGAAAATGCATTATGCATTCCCTGTTAGTTTGTGACTCAACTGAATCATCTTTTTGATGAGTTAGAACATGCCCCACTCTTAAAGACACCTTTATACACACTGCCAGATTTGTTGCCATTTATCTTCCCCCATTTAGGGCATTTTTTGTACAAATCAATGACCTTGGGCCAATGAATCTACCACAATACCCACAGGACTACATCACCTGGAACTGGAAGGAATATTCTTGCCTAGGACTGTGATTCTCAATCAAAAGCAGAGAAATTTTTGCAGAGAAAATGAGAGTTAACAAAACTTTTCCAGTTGCTCTTTGGTGCTGGAAATCCCAGGATCCAGCAGAATACTGGGATGTGTGAAGGATAGGACAGGAATTGGTTCCCTAAATCATAGAAGTGTTAAGGAAGACCTTTAAGACCTTGAAGGTCAAATCCAACCATTAAGCCAGCAGCAAACCACATTTTTGGAACACCTCCAGGGGTGGGGATCCCACTCCAAAGGCCACGCTCACCCCGAGAATTCTGACTCAGAGATGGAGCCCACGCAGAGGTGCCAGATGATGAAAGCTTTGCACGACTTGGAGATGAAAGATTGCCAAGGGTGGGGCTGAGGGCCACCAGCTCAGTGTCCCTGTGGCTCTGGGTGGCAGGAGGGTGGCAGGCAGTGCCAAATCACCCCCCTGTTGCTGGACATCATCCCCCCACTAATCCCTTTGGGATTCTCTGGAATGCCAGGTGTGCTGCAGCCTCCTACCTGGGAGAGGTTGCTCTTTTCCTTACCATTCTTCCTCTCAGCCTGGTGCAAAAGCCACTCTGCCTTTCATGCAGGACCACAGAAAACCTGGGCTGGGTTGGGGGGATTTTACCACGGGGTCCTCAGGGAGGGAAGCAACATTTGGAAATCAGAGTTACAAATCCATCAGTGTAGGAGCTCTGCTTTGAATGCAGAATTACTCCCAGAAAACCACACACAGCAGGGTCAGGGACAGCTCATGAGCTGCCCTGTGTTCTCCTTGGAACCTCAGGCCCCCTTTGAATCATTTTTATCAATGAGTGTCACTTCCCAGAGGAGTGTTACATAACCCCAGTGGCTTCCTCTGCACTTGCACGGGGTCGAGGTGCTGGAAGTGGCTTTCATTTCTTCCTGCTGTGGGTTCCTGCAGCCCGGGGAAGGCAGAGGTTGCTTTGATCCCTTTGGTGCTGCAAAGTGTGGGGTCCCTCTCCTGAAAGGGGTGCCCAGAGCATCCCTCTGCCTCAGGGTCAGCAGCTGGACTGGATTGTCCTTGTGGATCCCTGCCAGCTCAAGAATATTCAGTGATTCTCCTCTTAGCCCTTGGTTCTGGGATAAGAGCCCTAAGGGAGATGTTCCTCACCCCAGGGCTGAGCAAATTTGGGGTCTGCCCTGGCCCCACACTGTCCCTGCTGCTCCTGGCTGCTCCTCCTTGTCCTGTCCTCAGTCAGGGATGGTCCCTCTGCACAGCCCCAGGGGGTGAGGGGGTTTTAGACTTAATTCCCTCCTTTTCTTTGGGATGCTTATGCGAGGCAAGGCCAAAATCATCAGATTATGCATGACCAATGCCATGTTTGCTCTCCCACTCCGTGTGAGTTTGTCCTGCTGATGGGGTGGCCACAGCCTGGCTCAGGAGGAATTTATGGGAATCTTTGTGGCCTTTTTGTTTTGGCTGCACCTGCCTCAGCTGCCTCTTCCTTCTGTGTTTGTTCTCTCTTCCCTTTCTCTGCTGGGTGCACATAATTTTGGTTGTATTGAGCACTCCACCATAACCAGACAAGCCAAAAGGAAGTGGCACCTTTGGCTCTTTACTCCCCTCCCTAACCAAGGTGCTTTTTCTTTATTTAGTTTTTTTCAAATTTACATTTGTAAAGCTGCAATTTCTCTTTCCCTGTGTTTCCTCCCTGCCAAATTTGTGTTCCTCTCCTGGATTCAAATGCCACTTGCTCACAGAGATCTTCCACGGCAGGAGAAATAAAACCACAAGTCATTGCTTTACTCTCTGTTTATATCAGTTCCTTTTATCTAATTCCTTAAACAGAATTAAACACATACTCCCTGCTTTTGCTGAGCTGCACTTTTATGCAATTCACTGTAATATCCTCGATTCCAGTCACAATGGAAAGTGTTTCATCAGCATCCAGTAAGAAGTCCCTTCCGGCCCTCAGCTGAATGGAGAACTGAAAGCTTGGCCAGTCACCTCTGCAGCAAAGAGGAAATCTTTTTGCCTTTTTTTGTCAGAAATAGTCTATTAATTGTGAGATATTCTGTGCTTCCTCTCGGATGACAAGTCATCCTCTGGAAACTGCAGAGTTCAGTGTCCTGATCTCAGTTTCCAGGTTTTTCTGGCTGTGGGATATTCCTGGTGTTTGTTGTCCCCCAGTGCTGCTCTCTTGCCCACCCTGCCCCTTTTCCCTCTGTTTGTCACCTACTAAGCCAAGCTCAGCTCACTCCTGGCTCGGGGCTGCTCTCTCCATAAAATATCCCAGCCCAGGGTTTGGATAGCACAGGATCTCATTCCTGTGGTTGACCCAGACAGCAATTCCTGGTTTCCTTCATCCTGTCTGTGCCCACTGCCACTTCTCCTCCATGCACAAGCAAAGCTGGTCCTGGTGAGGGCAGGAGAGGAGCCAGAATTCCAGGGGTGTGGGGAAATCTCTGTGGGATTTATAGGCAGAGAGGGTCAGGAAAACACAAAAAACTTCCACTGGCGGGCCCTGAACTTGAGATTCCTCTGCACACAGAAGGTGCTTTGAGCTCTGGAGAAACCTCTGCAATCAGCAGAGCAGAAAAACAGAATAAATTCATGCAGATCTGCATTGCTCTGGGGAATTGAATCCCTTCCTTCTGCCTTTGTGGATCCAGGGACGTGTGACAAGCAGGAGCATTTGCAGCAGGTGAATTTTCCAAGCCTTCCTGAACCACCACAGATGGAGACCCCGGCTATTGTTAAATCCAAAGGATTTATTCATTCTTTCATTTATTAATTAATTTATTTATTTGCTTGTTTGTTTGTTTATTCCTTTGTGGCTCCATGCACAGAGCAGCTGAAACAGAAAGAGCTAAAAATTGGGAGTTGGAGAAAGAGAAAGAGTTGGAACAGCTGGAACAGCTGGACCTGCTCTTCCAGCACCCCAAGGGCAGATCAGCACTGCCAGCTCCTCCTGACCCACCCCAGGAGATGATTTCCCATTCCCACCTCTGTCCCAAAGATGCTCACACCAGGCAGGACCTGGTGGCTGGGGAAGCTTTGCTGGACCAGAGATGAGGCTGCCACAGGCCCTGCCATGGCTCAGCGTTTTGGGCAGTTGGACTTTTCCCTTGAATCAGTCAGGAATTAGTCATAGCCGAGGCAGGGTCAGCAGCAAGGCCAGGAGAAGCTGGGGTTTGCATGGTAACTGCAAACTGTCTGTGGCAGCATCAGGAAAGGGCTGGAAAAAGCAAAAAAAAATTGGAGGAAGGGGTGATTTTGACAGCTCACTCTGTCTGGGTGTGCAGCAGAGTGAGGGGTGTTTGGGAATTACTCTCTGGAATTGTAAATCCTGCCCTTTTTCAGTCACTCTCTGTTTTCCTGGAGATTTTGTCTGCAATGAGCTGATCCCAGTAGGCACCAGCAGGATCCTCTCCACCCTCTGGCTCCAACCATTAACACTGTGTCCTGACATGGGAATCTCTGCTTTTTGGGGCTAAATCAGGAGAGATTAAATTGGATTAAATGATCCTGCTTGGGAAGAAGTGGGCAAGCAGTTATTGCAACAATTTGAGCGTTGAGAGGGTGCAGCCAAAACTGAAAGTCTTGGGTGTGAATTCAGCCAGGGGTGAGGGAAGGGGGCAGGGCAGGCTGCAGCCAAAAATGAAATCCTTAGAGAGGTGTAAATTCAGGCAGGGCACAGGGAGGGTGGCAGGGCAGGCTGCTGGCCTGGATCAGGGCACCAGAATCCAGACCCTGCACCTGCACCTGCAGGGACTCCGTGTCTTACTTTCCAGTAAGGAAATCATTCTTTTGGCCATCCACCAGCAAAAATGTGAGACCCACAGTGACTTCCAGCTCAACACAACCTCATTCCCCGATGATTTGCCCTGTCCAAGCAGGAGCTGGTGTTATCAGTGGAGATGAGTGTGTGTGCAGTGGTTGTGGACCTCACGCAGGGAGAATGGGTGTCTCTGTCTCCTGGCAGTGGTGTTCTGCCAGCAGCAGTGGCTGGGGCTGTCCTTGCCAGGGCACCTGAGCTGGGTTATTCCACCCCCAGAGCTGCTCCACAGTCCTGACAGAGTTTGGGAGCACCAGGCACCCCGAGAGCCTCTGGAAAGCCGCAGCCTCGTGGCCGGCGCTTCCCCTTTGCGGTTTCCTCGCCTTTTCCAGCTCAGCGGAACTGGGTGATCCTGACATAATTTCCATCCCTGACTTTCTTTCTTTGAAACCCTGCACCCACCCCTCGGATGGGGATAAAAGGGGAGCACAGCCCCAAGGGCCACAGAGAGCTCTGCAGCCTCCTCAGCTCCTCCTGCTCCTGCTTCTGCTCCAGCTCCTCTCCCAGCTCACAGCACCATGAAGGTCCTGGCAGCCACCCTGGTCACTCTGCTCCTCCTGGCCACCTGCTCGCCATCTGAGGGTCACCTCGGTGAGTCCAGCATTGCTGTGTCCTCCCTGGAGAGCCCCAGCCCTGCCAGGGGGACCCTGGTGGCTGTGGGGAGGATTGGGGGGGTGGGTCTGTGTCACACCGGGGGATGCGGGTTTGGAGTGGGGGGTAAATCCCTGGAGGGGGCAGAGGCTGTGCTGCAGCTGGGGACTCACCAGGGCTGTGTGTCTGTCCCCTGCCCTCACAGATGGCGTCCCCAGCGCCTGCTGCTTCAGCTACCAGAAGCAGCCCATCCCTCGGCGCCGTGTCAGCTCCGTCTTCGAAACCAGCAGCTCCTGCACCCAGCCGGGCGTGATGTGAGTACCCAGCACTGCCAGCGGTGCCAGGGGAGCTGGGGACACGCTGGGACACTCGGGGTGCTGCTGGTGGGACTCAGCTCCCACGGCCTCACCCAGCCCAGCAGCTCAATGCCAGTTTTTTTCCTGCAGTGTGATCACCAGGAAGGAGAAGCAGGTGTGTGCAGATCCACGGGCACCATGGGTGCAGGAGCTCCTGAAGCACTTCCAGATCCTGAGACACTGAGCCTCCCCTGCTGACAGCCACAACCCAACCCCTGCACAGCTTCCAGGGCACAACAGAGAGGATTTGACCCCCCCACCTTCTTCAACGAGAAAAATTATTTTATTTAACTTATTTAAGTTAAACTAAATATTCTTTTTCTAAGCACAACAATTATTTAAACTATGTCAGAATAATACACTAAAATAAAGATAATTTCAATTGTATCCATGTGTCTGTTAATGAAGGGTCAGTGTTGATGTCTTCTTGCACTAAGGTGGGAGAAGGGACCACAGGGACCCCTGGGTTTGCTGGTCCAGCCTGGGTCCAGCTCCAGTGCCAGCCAGTTTGTCCCCACAGGTGACACCAGTGTCTCACCTGGGGCTGCCAGTGGTGGCTCTTGTTTGGGGAATGTCCTGGGACCCGTGGTGCCACAGGAGAGTTGGGGTATGATGTTCTATAGGATGGAACATCCTTTGCTCAGCATGGATCACCTGTCCTGACTCTGCCCCCTCACAGCAGCCCCTGAGTCCTCCATGAAGGCAAACACCACTCAGGAACAGCTGAAACACCAGTGTGCAATCAACACGATTCTCATGCTGAATGCATCAGTAAATATCTAAAAAAATTAAAATTGAGCTGCAGATCCTTCCCCAGCTCCGTTGTCCCACAGCACTGGTGGCACCACCAGCCAGTTTGTCACCCAGCAAACAGGGCACCCATCCAGGACACAGGACATGGGGACAGCAGACACAAATTTCTGTGCCACCCAACTCTTTGTCAACACGTACGTTGATATAATTGAGAGCATTCTTGTTTGAACTTGTTATCCTGACATATTTGAAATACCACACCTAATAGCTGCCTTTTGTAAGTTCAGAGATATTTGTGGTGAAGGAAATGCAGTAGATTTCACTCATCTGGGCTTCAGGAAGACACTTGGATTAAGGCCAGATAGTAAATTAAGAGCAAAAGCAGAGAAGATGTGACTGGCATATGAAAAGTAAATTTGGTCAAGAGCTGCCTGAAAGGGGCATGGTAATTGCTTCAGCTGAAAGGGGCTGTGCCACACTGAGAGGGGCTTACCCACACAGTTCCTTGAGTTTCTGCCTCAAAAAATATCCTGCTTGACATTTGCATTAATGACCTTGGCACACAAAGCTGGAGAAGGCAGAGGAAATGTGCTGATGAGGCAAAACGAGATGGGATCATCAATCTAGAGCAGGCCAGGACATCACACAGAAGATTTCTAATGACCTTGAGGGATGGAGGAGGGATCCAAGGCAGCACTGCTGAGTGGGATCCTGCTGGTGGAGACAGGGATAACAGGAACAGCCACTCCAGTTTGGGAGCTGGGAATGTCTGGGGCAGAGAAAATCCCGTGGCACACATCACAACACTGATGTTAAACGACATGAAAAGAGTTAAATGCTAAAGGCTTGGGTTAAAAATATGAGGGATTGACCTATATGAAGGCATCAGAGGTTCAGGATTGACATTAAACAACATGAAAAGAGTTAAATGCAAAAGGTTTGGGTTGAAAAATGAGGGACTGACCCATGTGAAGGCACCAGAGGTTGGAAGGAGGTGCAGGGTGTGAGGACAGGCTGGAAACTGCTGGGAATAGCAACAGAGGGGAAATCAGGTTTGCACAGGGACGTTGTAAGGTTCTCATGCAGGTTTCTGACCCAAGATAAAAACCAAGCACTGCTCTCATGGACACCAGTCCCACCAGCACCTTCCACAAACCATCCAGACTGGAGCTGAGATTCCTTCCAGGGTGGACTGCCTTGTCTTTACAAGGGTCTCTTCCCAGAGCCCTGCTTTCCAAGGTGTCCCTCAAAGCAGCATTGCTGTGCAATCCATCCTTCCCCAAGGCTGCCCAGCAAACTGCTCTCCTTCCCAGCAAACAAAAACCACATTCATTCATTCGTTCATTCATTCATTTATTCATTCCTCTCCAGGCCTGGTTTTGGTATGAGCTGCCTCACCCTGAAACTGATTCATCTCAACCCTGCAGTCTGGAACCACAGAATAACAGCACTTCTGCCGAATTTCCTCCAGAATATCCTTTTTGGACACTCCTGCCTCTAACACCTCTCTTTCTGTGCCCTGAAGGAGCAGAGCTGAGGCAGCCTCTGGTGGTGCAGACACCCCCATTTCCTAAGCTGACCCCTTGCTGTTTCAGCTCCTCAGGGCTGAATTAATTTTGTGGTTCCAACCTTTTTCTCTCCACATTCCCTGTGTGTGCCCATCCCAGCTCGCTGGCCTTGCTGCCACATCCCCAGAGAAGTGTCACCATCACTGCAGTCCTTTAGCACACCAAATCTTCTTTGGGATCATCCGGGGTTTCTATTTCTTTCTCTCTTTTTGGTTTCCTCCACATCCTCATCTCTGATCAAGTCCCTCAGAGCTTCCTGGGCTACCTCACTGATGAGCTGTAAGATTTTTATAGCACTATTTTAAATTTTCAGGCTTTTTCTATCGACTTCCTCTTTCTCTGGAATTTCTCTTTCGAATTTACTGGGACAAGACTAATCCTGGGGTCTGCTTGATCCCTTTCCTTTGCAACCACAGGATGTGGGAGTGACTCACGTTTTAGGGAGAATTATTTCTATTTCCCCTGCTCTGCGAATCCCAGCACCTGCAGCATCCCCCCACTCCCAAATCCCAGCCAAAGGTGTCTCTCTGGACACTCTCTCCTGCTTTTATCCTGAATTTTCCTTCTGTGAATTCCCCAGCAGGACAGGCTGTCAAACCTTTGCTTTGCTTTTAGGACCAAGCCAGGAGTAATGGCAACCATCAGCCCTTTCCCATCCTTTTCAGAGCCACTTTTTTCCCTGCAGCCTCCATGCCTGGACCCTGCTGGGTGTAATTCAGCATGACAAAGCCTCTTCCTCCCAGGAGAGGCATCACTCCTGAATCAAAGTGCTTTTTGGTGTGAAAACTGCTTTTTACCCCGGGCTAAATGCCTCAGTGCAGTGCCAGGGTGGGCTCCCCTGTGTGCCCACAGCCCTTCCAAAGAGCTGACCCTGCTACCCCCAAAAATGCCTTGCAGGAAGGTGGGAAAGAGTCCAGCCAGTGCAGAGAACCAGAAATAACAAAACACAGCCAGGTTTCGTGTCTGGGCTTGCCTTTTGCCCATAGAGCCGAGTGAAAAAACTGATTTTGCAAGCAAGGACTCGTGACAGCTGTCCCCACACCAGGACTGTGTCCCCATCACCAAGAGCAGCAGGCTGGGAGCTCAGGTGACAATGACAAGTTACAGGTGCCAGCCTGGAGCTCCATGCACATTCCTGAGGCTGGGGCACGAGTGCCAGGGATGCTCTGGGAAGGACAGAGCCTCCAGCAAATACCTTGGTGGCTCAGAGGGCACAAGGCTGGGGAGAAGCAGAGGAGCAGCCCAGCCCCAGAGATGTGTGCAAGGAGGAAGAGGAAGGAGTTTGTTCTGAGTGTGATTCTGCAACAGGCAAGATGTGAGCTCACCCTGCTGCTGGTAAATGGACCCCAGAACAGCAGCACGGGCAGGAAAGGGTCAGGATGACTCAGGGCTCAGCCACAGGTGTGGTGGTGCCCAAATTCCAGGGCCAGGTCAACCCTGGATCATCCAAGAGGTGAAAATAATCTGGGTTTTGAGAGATAGGTCCCAGCAGAGGATGTGCTGTCTCCAAGGACTGAGCAGCACTTGCTGCTTTCCGTGGCTCAGGAGCAGCCTGAGGAGTTTCTCATCTGCACAGTTCCCATTTCAGGGTTTGGGAGGGAAGGGAGAGGTTCTTGGGGTTAGAGCACGTGGTTTCTCAGAGAAACAGAGAAAGCAGGGCTGGGGAGACTCAACTTCCACTCCCTGTGTCACTCTAGGAACAGACTTCCCCCTTCTCCAGGTGATCTCCCAGCACATCCTCACTGCTGCAGGATTTTTTTCTCCCATTTTTTCGCTGCTTGAGATCAGAACATGGTGTCCCTTCCAGCAGGAAAACAAAGGATGAAATTGTTCAGTGGCCCCTGTGACCTGTTCTCAGGGCTCCCTCACCCTCTTTGCACTGCACACCACGATTCTTCCACGCTCTGCAAATTTAACAAATCCGTGCTTGTTTCAAGCAGCATTAATAAAAATATCACATAGCACCAGAGCTGTGGGGTCCCACACACTCCTGGCAGTCAGGGGTGAAATCCACCCAGGCCATGACAATGACAATGAGGTGTCAGAAGGATTAGGGGATTTTTTAGCAATTTGGGGAGCTGGCTCATCCCCACGGGATCGAGCTGCTCATGCAATAATCCCTTCCCAGAGCACATTGCTCAGAAATTTTGAATCCTTGTCAAAAATGATGTCAGGTTAAACTCCAGGAGAAGAACAGGAGCTAGTGTGGGAACACAGGACTTGGCAGAGATTCCCAAGGATTTCCCAGCCAGGTCTTCCCGAGCTGGTGCAGAGCAGCACTGCAGCACCATCTGCTGCCTGCTGCTCCCCAGCTCCTCCCCAGGCAGCTGAGAAATGCCTCACCCTCCAGGGTGACAAACCCTGCAGCCACCCATTGGAAAGCGGATCTCTCTTCTCTTCTTGGGGGAAATCAGGGGTCAGGCTCCTCAGGCTTCCCACAGCCTCATCCTGTGGTCAATACTGCAGGAGAATGTGAACAGCAGAAGCACCAACCTACAAAATTTAATTGCTGCAAATATTTATTCAGGGTTTAAGCAAATTAACGCCCTCCTGGCATTTCTCTTTGCAGTGGCCTCCCTGCAAGGGCACAGCACATCTGACTCCATGTGGGGTTGTGCATTTCTCAAGGTGATCCCAGCTCCTCCTGACCCACCTGAAAGGTTGACAGGAGATCCCAGCTCCCTTTTCTCCATCTAAAAGACTCACAGCAGACCCCAGCTCCCTTTTCTCCACCTGAAAGGCTCACAGCAGACCCCAGCTCCCTTTTCTCCATCTAAAATGCTCACACCAGACCCTAGCTCCTTTTTCTCCACCTGAAAGGCTCACAGCAGATCCCAGCCCCTCCTGCCCCATCTCAGAGCTTCCAGCAGCCATCCCAGCCTGCAGGAAGGTGATGCTGCACAGGAGCAATGCACAGCAAGGACACAGCAGGCTGAGAACAGCTTGTAAAGGCAGGTTTTGCATTTGAGCTGGCAGGAGTGTGACCTTGTCCTTTTCTTCACTGGGATTTACAGGCCTAAGTCCAAAGAAATAAATCAAAGGTGCCCATGGAGCAGGGCTCCTCTGGGCTCTACTCCATGGTGCAGCTCAGACACACAAGCAGCAGGAAGGCCCAGCACGTGTGAAGGATGAGGGTACAAGCTCAGCTGGCTGTGGTAAGACACATGCCAGAAGAAAAGAGGGAACAGGAAAAGAAGAACCAGGGGAATCCCAGTGTTTCTCCTCACCCCCAAATCCGAGAATGCCACATTCAAAGCTGCTGCAGCATTTCCTGGCTAATACAGGAGATGGTTCACTGTCCCAAACCCCGGCCAGTGCCCCCTGGCCAGCCGTGGGACCATGACAGCATCTGCCTCATCATTCTGGCATCTCTGACAGCTTCTCCCTCTCACACACCAGGCTTCTGCAGACAGCTCAGAAATTGTGTGTAACAGCCAATACTCTGCAAACATCTCGTGCCAGATTGAGCTGGGAGAGAGCTAACACAGCCCAAGCCACCCAGCCAAGTGCTCCCAGGGCTGGGAGCAGGCAGGGCAGCCCTGCAGAGCACTCCTGTCCTCTCCACAGGCAGCTGCCATCCCTCTGTGCTCAGCCTGCACAGATGTGTACAGAGGAGATTTGGGTGTTTGTTCTCCAAGCCTGCCTTGTTAATGCTGGAGGAATATTGACACAACATTCCCTTCAAAGCAAATGGAAATTGAAGCTTTTTATTGAACCTGGTTTTTTCTTTCATCTTAGCTTTTAGAACAAGACATTTAACAACATGACCGTTCATTTTCACATCACATGTCACAAGTTCAGCTGGGCTCCTGCAGCTTTAGCTGCAGCTGAATGTTGTCTGCTTCCCCAGAAGTCCTCAGAGTGAAGATTTATGGAGAAGCAGACACTTAAACACACACAAAACCAGAAATGCAATTGGGTTTTACTAATGAAGCAGGCTCTGAGCTGCATGCACCTCTTCACCAGAAACAAGCCCTACTTTAGCAGACACCAACAGCAGCTTTTGTCTTTGTCTAACTTGAGAGCTGTGTTGCACAGAAGTGGGAAGGCAGTTAATGTATGCAAAGTTTGCTCGAGCAGAAAATGCTTGATCTGGTCAGGGACTGGAAGAACAGAAGCTTTGCATTCCAAACAAAAGATTCCCCCAGGAATGGGAGGTATTTGAAGATGTCCACTTCTGCATCTGGAATTAAAAGCTGAGATTTCTCACAGAGAAATGCAAATCAATTAAGTGAACCAAGAAATGTTTGGGGAGGAGAAGGAAAATATTTGGCAGGCAAACACTAAAACGTCGAGCAGCTCTGTGGGAGTCATGTCCCAGGGACTGGACCAAAAACATAATTAGTCTGTTGTGGAGATAAACACCAAGCTTGTGTTCTGTTTTCTCATCCCAAACGCCTCCTGGGCACTTGCTGCCTCACATCCTTCCCCCAGCAGCAGAGCTCCAGGTGTGTGAAACACCGGGGTGGGGGGAGGAAGGGCTTCAGCAGAGTGTGAAGTGTTCCTTCCAAAGTGCACAAGTGGTAAACAACATTTCCTCTGGGTTTGCACTGCTCCCAGCCACACTGGGGCCACCTGTGGCATTCCCAGCTGATGTCACCTGCCTGGGAGCTGGATGGCAGCTCGGGATCCACAGTGCCTTGTCTCTCACACCTGGCAGCAGCCAGAGCTGCCCAAGTGTCCCCACAGAGGTAAAAAGGCCACCAGTCCCACCAGGCTGGCAAGGAAAAGAGAGGCTTCAAATGTAGATCACATCTGAGTCATGCTGCTGAACCTGCAGGTAAATCAAAGAGGAGGAATCAGTGCTGGCTCAAAGTAACTCCCTTTGGTCTGGGTCTTCCTTCCTCCAACTCTGGAGCCCTTTGCAAGATGCTCTGCAATAGCTTTTTCTTCCTTCTTTAAACGAATGTATTTGTCTCACCCCTGAGTTTAGTCTTAAAAGTTGTTTCTGTTTCCTCAGAAAGAGCTGCTCCCTCAGCTGTGTCCTTTAGCTCTAAGCACACCAGCCCTGAAGGAGGCACTGAATGTTATATTCAGGAGCTTTTAATTGATCCTAAACCCCTCCAGTTTTGTTCAGATAAACCACAGCAAATCCATCAGGCTTTCCCCATTCCCAATACCTTGCCCAATTAGCATTGCCTACAGACAGCTGATTTCCTTCCCACTGTTCCAGGCCACATCTCCTCACAGCTCTTCTTCATTCTCCAGCCCAGTGACATCTCAAAGCAGGTGGTTTTCTCCTGACACCCAGCTCATTGCTCTTCAGGCCTCTTTGACAGGGAGCACATGGAAGAGAACTGAGCTGTTGGGAGCCTGGGTATTTATTGGTCTCTTCCTCCCTGCCTTTTAAAAGCAGAAGACAGGCACAGTATGTTTTAAGCTCTCTATACCTGGGAGCACATTTCTCATTTCCAAGTCTGGCTGGTACAAATAAAATTTAACACAGATCCTCCTACTGTGTACAGACATCTCTGCTTCATTTACCAAGGCTTACAGCTTTGCACTCCAGCTTAGATCAGAAGTGAGAAAAAACAGGCAGCCTCGAGTTATAAACATTCCCAAATGATGTGCCAGCACCAGGGGCTCCAAAACCCTGCAAAAGCCTTGTCAGCTGTGAGGCTGGGACAGAGCAGGACAAACCAGGTCCCTGCAGGCAGCCACCCTCTCTAAACTCTCAACTTTTAGGCAACATTTAGGAATTTACTTAGGAATCTGATCACCTTTATAATCTGTTTTCTGGTTCCTGTGCCCACACTGTTGGCAGCCATGGAATTGGCTTGGGAAGATGACTTTTCCACTGGCACCATGTGCTGAATTTTGTTGGTGCAGGGCCAGCTGCTTGCAGTGTTTAACAAGTAAGCAGGGAAAGGTCTTTGAAGATTTACATCCAATGAATCTCCAGTTTCGAAGATTTTCATCCATGATGGGGCCTTTAAAAGAAAAAAACACATGGAAATTTAATGCCCTTTCTATATCAACACTCATTAAGCCAAAAAGAACATCAGATGAGTAGTCAGAAAATAAAGGCCATCATTTCCTCATCATTTTTCAAGCCTCCCTTCTGTCTCTAAAAAAACCATTGACTCAGAGCCATTTTTGCTACATGAGGGACAACCTGCAGACAAAGCCAGCCCTATTCCTGCCCTGCTTCAGGAAGAAGCTGAAGAGTTTATTGGAATAACAAGCAACTTATGACAAAAATCTGGGTCCAGTTCCTCATTGCCTTCAAAAAACAAAAAATACACCAAGAATTTTATGACTTTCAGCAACCACAAAGCACATGAATGCAAATGTGATGCAAACTGTAAGAAACCACATTTAAATGTGTTAGTCACAACAATTTCATTTGCTCCAAGACCTTAAACCCTGACTGTGATTTCATAATCATAAAATAAGATGATTATTTTTTTGCTGATGGTCCTGGTATTCAGTGCAGGGAAAAGGCCTTAAGATTTTGTTTTGACATGAATTTTCCTCTGAAAGTGTTCATGCTTTTAATATTTTATCAAGGGTGCTAAAGGCTTGGACTGGAATACAGCAGCTGCCTTTGGCACACCCACACTGTTCCATTTTAGGGTTCATGCTGGAGAAAGGGGCAGGGATTTCAGGTTCTTACACTTCCTAAGGAGCGATCCAAGGAGCCCAGGACTTCATTCCAATGACTGCAAAGCCCAGCCTGTTTTTCCTCCAGTTTCAGAGCATGAATTTCAGACTTCAATTCTTTCAGTCGATCTTCAAATTTCCTGCTCTTTTCTAAGTAGTCCAGCCTGGATCCACACATTGGAGACAAAAAGTTTAGGGTGGCACAGTTTAACTCAAGAACAGGTGTTTGTGGAAGGAGGAGAATTGTTTTTTGTTTCATTTTATGTTTGACAAGTAAAATGAACTCTGGCAATGCCAGCCTGGCTCCCCTGACCCAACGATAAGGGAGTTCACTTCTTTCACTTTTGCTTCCTAACTTTTTACCAAGCATTTCCTTCCAGACTAAGGGATGTCTGATGGATCAGCTCCCAGCAATTCCACACTTTAGCACTAGAGGGAAACTTCTGTGCTGTTAGTTCAGCAAAGTGCTTTGTTCCTCCCCAAGACAGAAGGTTCTGGATTAATCATGGCTTGATGCCACCAAGAAACCCTTCCCCTGTGTGAAAAGCCAGTCTGACACAGACATCACCCACACCAGCTCAGTAAAAGGCCTCCAGCCATATGCACATCCCAAATTATTAAAAGATGAACTGAGATTCCCAAAAATGTCATTGCCTTTCTCATTCCTCTGCACCACAAGCATGCTGATACCTCTCTCTCTCAATCTCAAAGGAGAGTCTCTTGAGGTCGATGTCCTTCAAATCCAGCTTGATGGATCCCTTGTCAAAGGTGGCATCTCTGCTGTCACCTGGGGAGTACTGGGGGTACTTGGCCATGTGCTGCAAGAGGCAACACAAGCACTGTCAGATCTGATGGTCTGATTTGGGATTTATCTCCTCAGTTCTGCCAGAATGCCATGTTGAGCCATTTCCTAAGTTTCTGAGACACACAGATGCTCCTGCAGCCCTTCCCCTGCACCAAGCTGAAGTCCACAACCCACAGATCCAAGAGCAGGGATTTATCCTGGCTGCAGTGTTTCTATTTCAGCAGAGAATGGAAACCCAGCCTCAGCAGGGCTGGAGCAGAAGAGAGAGTTGGGGCACAGAACTTCAGCAGTGATTTCTTGCTGGGGACAACTTCACCTGCTTTGCCTGAAGCCAGATGGATGTGCCAGGATGACACAGCTGGCTCAGCTCAACCATGTCCACAAAAACTGCCTGGCTGAAATAGCACCATGACTCAGGCATGAAGGCAAGGCAGCCTCTGTTTACTAAGTCCATCACCAGTTCTGGTTTTAACTTTTGCCTCACCTTTCTTGCCATGCTGAACAAACCCAACTTCCATCCTCACTACACTGCTTTTCCACACCAGTTTGTGCCCAGCTGGATGCAGCCATGCCACTCCTCAGCTTGATAGGGGCTATAAAAATGTCATCAACACCTGACTGTCCTTGAGGATGAAGAGGTGCCCAGTGGAGCAGAACTTACAGGATAATTAAGCCTGGTTATGTCTAAGAGCTTCTGCTTGGCTTTGCGCTCGGCCTCCCGGGCTTCGTGCAGGTCTTGTTTCAGGTGCTCTGCTTCCTTGGCTCTGCAAGACAAATACCCCGAGGGGAATGGCTGATGGTTCCAACCAGCACAAGGATTTCAGAGCTCACCAACGTCCAGAGAACAAGTCCAGTACTGTGCTATCTTTACACCAAGGCACTCGTGGGAGGATGCTCACATGGAGAAGTGAGTGGGCACAGCAGGACAGACACTCCTGCACAAAGTGGCTGAATTAACATGATTTCCCTACTCCTCATCTCCATGGGCTCAGTTACAACTTGCTGATACAGATTCTCTCCAGGCCATCAGAGATCCTCCCTGAGGTGGGGAGAGGTTGCTCTTTATTTTGGCAAGCTTCTTGGCAATATCCTAAAACAAGTAGAAGGATTTCTTAACAGGATTAAAAATCCTCTGTCAACACTGGCCTGCTCTGCGTGTTCAGGGAACATGCAAACACTCAGAGTGGTTTCTATTGCACATGAGTTTACCTGGTTTTACACTTCTTAAAGATCTGAAAGGGAAACAAGAGACCATTCCCTTGGCACTAATGAGTGAAAACAGCCTCATATCTCGCAGGGTATAAAGAGTAAATTTAGATAGGAAGCCAGTGCTCGTGTGATAACAATAAACAGAAGATGCTTCTGCATTCTGGATCTTTCTTGCTAAACATCTCTACAGCTTTGCACCTGATCCTCTGTAAACTTGACCTGCAATACAACAGCAGCACCCAGGTGGAACAAAGCAGGCACAAGGAGGCTTAATCCCTCTGAAGTGTCACTTCAGGAATAATTTCCCCCTCCTGGGCTCGGCTCTGAGGACGGCAGCGCTCTCTGCAGCCCAGCCGAGAGCTCACGGGGCCGGGGAAGCAAAGCCCACCTCCTGTCAGACTCCTTCACCAGCTTCACCGCGATCAGCTCCGCCTCCCGCATCTTCTGCTCCATCAGCCGCTTCTCCTCCTTGCTTTTCAGGGCTGTGATCTCCAACCTCTGGCGCTCCTGCTCAGCCTCTGCAGCATTCTGGGCCAGCAGCTTGGCCTCTTCTTCTGCAATCTGGGCTTTCTCAGCCAGCAGCTCTGCTGCTTCCTGGGATCGGAGCTGGGGAGAAAGAATTTTTCCGAGTTCATTGTCTAGAACCTGCAAAATCACCCCTGCTGGCAGGCAGGCAGGCAGGAGACAGCTTTTACCAAGAGATCAAGTGATAAAATATTATTTCTTAAATAAAAACCAGACGCAATTTCAGGGTCTAATGTTCCTCCTCTGCTCCAGAATTTCCTGTGTCTCACTTCCACAAAGCAAGGAGAAAAATCTTAGAGCTGGACAAAGCTGAAGTCAGCCCCTTCAATTGCCTCTTTCTCCCAATTTCAGCTCCAAGATTGTTTCCTTTCCCTCCCTCTCAACCTGAAGAGAGCACTGTGAGCCAAATTCAGGGAGGGAATGGCTCACAGATTATGGCAGATCAGGGTTTTCCCAGGGATTCCTGCATGCCCTTTCCACCAGTGATCAGAAACTCTCCAGCCTTGTCTGAGCTACAATTCCTGGTATCAAAAAAATCCTGTTTCCAAACCAAGGAAGCCCATCAAGCACAAGAATCTTCAGTCTAACTCACCAGGGCCTCGTTGGCCTGCCTGGCTTCATCCTCCAGCTGGAAAAGGCGCCTCTCCAGCTCTTCCTTGGCTCTCTCAGCTTCTTCTCGGAGCTGCTTCTCCCTGGCCAGCCTCTGGTTCTCCATCTGGAAGCAGGATGAGCAAGAGTTGGTGGGATTGCAGCAGAATCTCACCTGGGCCTGAGTGAAATGCATCTAAAGAAGAAGGGGCTGCTCTCCAACTGGGATGCTCAGCAGAAATGCTGAAGCTGCCTGAACTTTGCAGCACTGAACTCCTCAGGCAGGCACTCCTGGTTATTTCAGGCTGCTGGGAGAGCCCTTGGATTGATCTATTTTGTGCCCCAAATCTTTGGGATCACCTCTCCACACCTCCTCAGATGCCACAGAGCTGTTCCCACATCCAGTCCTGCTGCACTTCCTCCCCTCCCACACACACTGATGGGATACAGGAGCAGCAAGGGCACCAGCTGCAATAATCATCACTGTCTTCTACAAAAGGAGCAGGAAGAATCTACCTTTTTTCTAGCTTTTTCTTCCCTGGCTTGTGCTTTCATTTGCTGGATCTCTATGGAGTCCACTTTTCTCCTCCTCATAAACAGGTCGTGGTTTCCAATGCACAACTGGAAAATCTGGAGAGGAAAGGCAAAGCAAATGAGGTTTTGATGGATTTGTGCCCCTGCCAGAGGGACAAAGAAGCCCACACTGGTCTCACAAGACAATTCTGACTTCAGCACAAGTGCTGGCAGCTCCACACAACAGTTCAGGTAAGTGAACATGATCAGAGGTTGCTCCCCTGATCCCATTGTCCTGAATTACACAGGCTGATCTAGGCTGAGACCCCAAGATCACAATTTTGTTTACAAACAATATTTCTCAGTCAGGCTCATCAGTTCACTCACCAGTTTGTTCACTTTGAGCTGGGAGGAAAAGAACTTGAAGACTTCTGCTTTTTTGTCAAGGGGTTTAATAGTTAACTACACAAGCAAAAGAAAAAAAAAATAAGAAAGGAAGCACAGTGAGGAGGAAAGTTAAGTAGAAACTATTAAAATCAAAGCAAACTTGAGCTCATCTCCACTTCTGAGGAAGCAGTGATTTATGTCACAAATAGGGGCAGAGTGATGTAAAACTGTTTTTCTCCACAGAATCAGGTGTGTTGGAGGATAAACCCCCAGGCCAACCCCAGTGCCAGTGTGGATGGGGGTTGTCCTGATGCCACCTGTGCATTGCCACTGTCCCCAGAGCTCTGCAACAAGCCCTGGTTATCAGAACAGGACACAGCAGCAATCCTGCCTTAAAGCCAGGGAAATGTCAAACACCTCTCAGAAAAGCAACAATTGAAGGGATAAACAAATGTGCCAAGGGCCTAAGGACTTGTTCTTCAGAGCAGCAGGTGGAAGTCCTGCAGATTTCCTCACTTTTCCAGTCCCAAGCTGTTCCCAGAGGCCAGGCAGGGTTTTCCTGCTGCCAGCTCAGTGCCTCACTCCATACCTTGTGCTCTGTTTAGCTGCAGAACAAAATAAGGCCCCCTTTTTTTTTTTTTTTAGGGCCCTGTTTTCTGTGCCTCACAGGTCCCTTGGCACTCTATCTCTCTAATTTGTTTGCAAGGTAATTCCTGTGTAATTCCAGGGCATCTGAGTCACCAGGATCATAAAATCCTAGAGCTCCTTTCACCCTACAGGTAATGACTGGCAGCCTCTTGAGGAGCAAGGCTGTGATGTGTCACTGAATCAAGTGAAGCTTAAACACAGGGCTGCCCAACAGCAAACCTGTAGTCCCCTCTGATTTAATGGACATGAATCTAAAATTTCATCTCAATTCTAGATCTCAGTTTTCTGTGGGCTGTTTTCCAAAAAGCCCACAGAAAATGGAACAGCCTGTGCTGCCCTTTGGCTGACGAATTCCAGGTATTGCAGTACCACTGTAGTTTTCCTGGTTTGTTTTTTCTGATTATAGCCTTCTTAAGATTTGGACTGAGAATAAATCTTCCCCACTCCTTCACTTTCTAGAAGCAAAAGCTGAGCTTCACAGTGAAATTGCAGTGGTGGGGAGTGAAATCATGTCCCAACAAAGTGAGAAGTGAGGCAGAAAACCATTAATATCTCCCTGCATGTCTCCTCTTGCCACTGGGCTCCAAGCCTCAGCCTCTGCGTGTGCAAACAGCATTAAGGTTTTATGGATCATGGGATTCCTGCTGGGATAACTGAGGAAGCCAGGCATGGTGGCATTCATAATATCTGTCTTTTTCAGAGATCAACACATTTGTTTTGCAAAGGCCAAGCAGCAGGGAAGGAGCCAGCACAGAGTCAGAGCTCAGAGCAGCCTCGGGGAACCGAGGTTTGGAGCTCATCTGCAAGGCAGAGATGTTATTTTTAGTTTTGTAACAAAGATCCCCAGGATTTTCCCCTTCTCCCCCAAAATTATTTCAACAGAGGAAGCATTCAGCCCGTTCCAAGAATCCCAGTCCACACCCATGCCCATGGAAAAAGAATAATACATCAAAGCCATCCTACCTCTTTCTCACTACAGGAAATGTTTCTGATCGAGCTCCACTCAAAGGATTTATTGGGTGAGAACCTATTATTAATGCTGTAGATATGAATACCTTTGGCATCAACTCCAAGCAGGAGATCTGTGTGGTTTTTATTTTGCTAAAAAACAAGAGAGATCAGTAAATGGCATTTTTGGTGACATTAAACAACCACGGACAAGAAGCTTGTATTTTAATATATTGATATTTGTATTTGAGGAAATTGGTGTTTATATAAAATACTATGAATGCTGTCACTGGTAATAATAAGCTCAGTCCTCTATGCTGCTTATAGCAGCTCAAAATATTTATCCTTCCTATTCCATACCTGGAGTTACTCAAAACTTTTGTCAGGTCTTAAAATATTAATCTAAACTGTTTTATTCACCTGCTCATTTAGCAGGCAAGAAAACCAAGTCAGAAGAAAAACCAGCAGCAGGGAAAAGCAGAAGTCAGGAGTCCCAATTCCAAACTCCCTGGAGGATTTTAAAAGAACAGCACCATTATCTGCAGCAAGTGAAAACTGCTAAAATAAGGCACTTACAGCAATTGGGAAATAATTGACACCGTACATTTCCAAGTCTTGGGCAATTTTCAGGTAGTTCATCTCAGCCTCATCCCTGGAGAATAAAGCCCTGATTATGAAATGCCTCTCCAGCCTTTCTCTCCTGGCTGACTCTCCATTTCCCACTTAGAAAAGAACAGACAATCTGGCCCTTTATACAATCTTACTTCAGTTTTGCCATCTTCCTCTTAATAATAGAAAAAAAAAAGGATAATAAAAACAGCATCTGGACAGAATAAAGGCAGTAAAGTTGCACCTATTTCAAAAAGTGACTCATGCATAGTGTAATCTTCATTAAAATTCATTAAAAGTCTTATTCTTGTGTTAGTTTTGCCACTCCATGTCTTGGAAAACCATCCTTCCATTGTTTTCCATGAATATATTTCCTTCAGGAAATAGAGTTCATTGAGAAGTGAGTCTGGGACAGAGCTTTTGGCCAAGGCCAAAGAAAAGTGAGAATCTTCCACTCACTTTTCTTCTCCCTTCAAGGTAAATCAGTAAATCTTGAGGAAAATATTCAATAAAAATAATCCTAAGAAGCCTCCAGAACAGAGAGAAACAGAACCCATGTATTAGGAAAAGCTGCCTCTGGGTGCTAACAGATCCTATTTATTGTTTAATTGGATTTCCAGATGAGCTGAATTACACTGAAAACAACAAATCCCACAAATAAATGTATGGGGTTTGCAAGAAATGCAAAGGTTTCCTACCTGGCAATGCCCCTGTGCTCAGCATACCAGGCAGTGATCTTCTCTTCCCACATCTCTGCTGTCAGCTGGTACTGCCTGAGCACCTGCAGGGCAAGGAAGGAGGTTGGATCCCTGTGAAAATCCAAATCCAACTTCTGCCTCTCCCAAGCAAAGTGAATGCAGAGGTGCAGTTCACAGCTTGGGCATTTTACAGAGTTTTTAATGCTCTGATTAATCCCCAGCAAAGGGGAGATTGAAAGATTTGGTTTGGTATAAAATTAACTCACCCTTTTAGGCAACAGCTCATCATGGGCTAGAAAGCCTGGCTCGTGGAAATTTGGGTCATAGTCACCATACTGTCCCAAAAAAGAAAAGTTATTGCAGTTTGTTAGAGGCAGAATGTTGAGGGTGTTTGAAGTGAAAGCTTGAGGCAGATTTTATTTTGGGTCCCCTGCACACATCCCCTCATCTGAGCAGGCCCCTGTGCCATGCAGGAGGCTCCAATTCAGCCACTGAGCCACTCACACATCATTCCCAACCTGGAAACCTCAATGCCAGCCTGGAAAACCCTTTAATGCCAGCCTGGAAAACCCTTCAATGCCAGCCTGGAAAACCCTTCAATGCCAGCCTAGAAAATCCTTCCATGCCAGCCTGAAAAAACCTTCACCCCAACATGGAAACCTTCAATCCCTCTCAGCCTGGAAAACCTTCAATGCCATCCTGGAAACTGCAGCTCTGAAGGAATCTCCCAGGAATTCACCCTCTGAAGCAGAGGAATGGGAGCTGCACACAAGGACAGCCCTGCTAAATAAATTGTGTTCACCTCCTGCCACTGTGTAAATCGGGTTCCTGGTGGAAAGAAGGGAACAGAGCTCTGAGAGGCACAAAAAAATCTTCATGTCCTCCCACTGTGAGCTCTGTTTGAGCACATTCTGCATCCATAGTAATTTTTAAAACAAAGGAAATCATTCTAGCCTGGAGAAAGATTACACTAAAATGCTAGGCCCAAATAAATCCCCTAAATTGCAGAAGCATAGTAAAAAAAATCCTTGCAGTGGCATTCAATGTTTTGGTTTTTTTCTAGCTGTACTTGTACCTCCCAGGATGACCAACTTTACCAGGAAATTTTAACCCTGTTGTGTTTTACACACCACCATGTAGATGTGTTGGTTAAGCTAGAGAAAGTCAATTTTAAAAGAGATTTTCTATGCACAAACCTTGGCCTGAACAGCATAAGAAGCCAGTAAAACTGTAGCTTCTGGTGAGCAATAGATTTCCTCATCCAGGATCTGCTTCTTAACCTAAACCAACAGAAAACAGGGAGCAAGTTCAAGAAGCCCCAAGTGAGGACTTAAGTCAGGCTTGAAATGGAAGCAGGCATGCCCAGGCTATAACTTGGCACCAAATATCACCTTTAGGAGTTAATAACAGCAACACGAAATTGGCATTCAGGATCACAGGAAGCCTTTAGTTAACATTGCATTTAATGAGACCAAAAGTGCCAGTCAGCTCTCTGCACACACTTACATAAGGAGTCCTATAAAAGAATATCCTATAAAACATCAATTTTATTGTCTGTGCTTCATTTCTTTTAACAATCCTTTTTTTTTTTTTCCTGCCTGCTTTGTAGAAGTCAGCTTTGCATCACGTCAGACATCAAATTTCAGGTGGGGAGGGAGCTCTGGAGGTCAGGTCCAAGCAGAGCAGACTCAGGGTTGTGCAGCTGCCATATGAAAACCATAAGAGATGTTCTCCAGCTTTCCAGAATGAGAGAATAAAAGAGACCCTCAAAAGAGAAGCTGAATAATAAAGCACTTAATTTATTCATTTTCAATGGTCTAAGTACAATCAGACAAAGCTAAAGAGTCTTTCTACATTCTTTTCATTTTAATAACCCATGGTGCTACCAAGAGCAGAGGTGTAATAGTTTGTAAGGTGTTGTTTGATTTTAAATCAGTTGTGCAATTTCTGTTTGAAAACCTAAAGAGAGAAGGGGAAATTAATCTTCCCAAATCCTCCTCTCAGGTGTATTTAGCTTAGGAACAAGCACAAGACAACAAAATTTTGCATAGCTCACAGTCTTAAACATTTCCAAATAGAAAAATGACTTGAGCTAGCACAAGTTCTGTTTACAAACACCTCTGTAGGTGGTGGGGACTGAAATGAACCACCAAGAAAGTTTTTGCTTTTAAATTTAGTCCCTGGTGAGCACAATCTGTGAAGCTGAGTTACAGTGCAGGGAACATTCTTTCTAAGCTGTTAAAATGGAAAGAATGAAAAGATTTTTCTTCCAATTTGGAAAGCTCCAGCTTTCATTCTCCACAGTAAAAATCATGCTCCAGAATTTAGAACAATGTGGATAAATCCCCCATAAGTGTCTGGGTTGTTTTGGTTTTTGTTTTGGTTTGGTTTTTTTCTCTGATCAGTTTTTACAAGGACTTTTTGTTAAACTTCATGAAGAAGCAATAAATTACCTTATCTTTAAGCAGACAATATTTAGCTTTAGTCACTGACATTTATTCAGGCATTTATGCCACATTAATTTGCAAAGGTCTGAAGAGTCAGGAGAGCTGAAATCTTCAGGCATCCAGATGTCTGTACATGTTTTTCCTATTAGCATCCAGGTGTGAGCTGAAGTTCTTACAGTCAGGAAACTTTGCAAGTTCCAATTTGTTTCAGCCTTGTTTTCCTACTTTGGAATGAGAAGAATTTGCTAATTGCATATCTGCTAGTTAAGGCAGGTTCAAGGAGAAAAGGAAAAAAAAAAGTGGAAAAATCAGGATTAAAAGAGTAGGAAGATTTCTGTTGTTCTCATTCCTTTCCAAAAGTAGTTGAAGAAATAAATTTCCCAGTGGTTAAAGGTTCTGGATGAAGTTCTGGGGGGTTTCTGACCCTCAGAGCTGCAGCATTTCCCCATTATTTCATTAGCACATCCTCCTCAGGGCACAAGGGAATTGACTGGGTTTATTTCCAGCTGCAGACTGAATTTATCTCAGCTACCTGCACAGACACATCCTGCTGGAATAAAGCAACACTCCAGACACTGAAACTTCCAGAGGGACTCCACAGGAGTCAGGACAGAAGCTGGATGTCCCAGACATTGGAAGTGACCATCCCAAACTCAGCTATGGAACTTTTCCTGGTTGATCCATCTTTATTTTTGATAAAGCTCCAAGAATTTGCTCCTTCATCTGCTTTTTGATAGAGCTCAAATGGTGTCTGCTGCTCTGCTCCTCTTAAACCTCATCAGGTGAACAAACCTGGATTTCAGAATGCCTATCAAATTCCATGATCTTTCATCCCTACAATCCAAAATGAAGGTTTAGGGAGTCCTTGTTTTCTAGAAGTTTTGCTCTCCAGCATAAGATCTCCCCAAAAGCCTCACAATTCATCCAGCAGCTCCAGCTTTGCATGAATTTTTATTTTTTAAACACATATTAAGGAGCAAAAGAAGCCTGGAATATTCAGGTTTGGAATTATCCCCTAAGTGCTGGGTGTAGAAGATGAAACATTCAGCTTACCTAGACACAAACCCACAGCAGGCAGCAGAGATGTTTGTATTTCATAAAAATAATGTCTACAAAGTTCTTGCTACAGCTGAAGCAAGCAAAATTATCCTGAGCTGCCAACAAGATCAAAGACAATGCAAAAGGACTGGGGGAAATACAGAAGGAATTCATGGTTCAAAACTGTTCCTGACCTGAAGGAAGAATAAATGCTGGGTAATTTCCTGTAAGAGTTCCTCTTCTACCTTCTCTGGGTAGAATTTGGCCAAAAAATGAAAGCTAATGGGATCTTCTTTGGGAATTTCTTGATCTAAAACCTGTTTGGAGATAAAATCAAATCAGCAGCAAAAAGGATACATGAGTGTCTCAAGGTAATATTCCCGAGGAAAATCAGAAAGTACCCAATAATCCACTTAAAGCAGCCTTCCCATATTTTAGAGGGAAGGGTAATTCTGAGCTTTAATCTCACAGCAATCAGTGGTGATTAGTGTGGGATGCTCCAGGTCAAATGGGATAGAAGCAATCAGAGCAAATAATCCTATTTTTGCTTTAAAGAAAGCTACCATGTCAATTTCTGAGTTGTCATGGAGCACATCCCTTTAGCTCCCCTGCTCCACAAAGTCAATATTTATAAAAGTAAATCATTAATTCCCACCCATTTTGGCTCCTGTACCTTTTTGTCCATCTTTAACCACGTGCACATCCCTTTAATTGTGTACTGCAAGCCAAAGAACCAAGTCTCCCTCAAACCAAGGGCTCGGCACACCAGGTCAAACAAATCCTTTCCCTTCCACTTCATCTGAAAGAGAGGAAAATCAAGGGGGGAAAAAAAAAAAGTATATCCTAAATGAATTTGCTCCATTTTAGCCCTTTCTCCTATGAAATCTTATTTCATCTTTAAGTTTTTAATGAAATATTCTTGCTGCTGTGTCAGAGTTGCTGTGTTCCATCTCCTCTCCTCCTCCAGACACAGCCAGAGAGCAGCTGGAGTCATTTAAGCACCAAGCACTTGAGGGAATGAGGATTGTACCATTGATTTCCTGGGATGTGGCAAGTCTTTATTAATATTTGTCCAAAATTTTGACTCAATGGCTTATCCAAATTGGAGAGACAGAGTAGAAGCCAGGGGAAATCAAATCAGGCCACGGGGTAGGAATGCTGAACAATGAGAGCAGATCCACCTTTCACACCCCTCAGGTATTTCAGTGGCACCAGGCCAAGCCTTTATCCTACTCTGATTTAAATGAGTCTTAAACGTTTTCATTTCAATTTAGCAGCCACAGAGGGCAAGCTTTGATTCAAGGTCCCAAATTCACACACATCTGATGACTTGTTTCTTCCACCAAAGAGGCTGCTCATCTCTCTCTTCTATTTGACCACAGTTCAGAAGGATGATTTTATCTAATTGCTAAAATTAAAAACTGAATGGCAAAAAAAAAAAAAAGAGAACTTTCAGGCAGTATTTGAGTGGAAAGCTGGAAATCATCTCAGCAAAAGATCAGTGTCTGGGGAGAAAGGAGAGGTAGCAAAGGAAGGAATACACAATTTGTTAACAAGGACTCTGATCTCTAAATCAAATTTTCCAAATCCTTTATTTTCACAACTCTGCCTGCAAGTACTCCAGAGAAGTCATACAAGATTAATCTATTCTGTTTCTGAAGGACCTAATAAATGATATTAAATGGCTCACAGAACAGTCAGGTCTCACTAAAACTGTCAGTCCCATTGGAACTGAGTTTTCAAACTCCCCAAAATACCTGTGTGTCTGGCTTTGCTTTTGCTGGATGATTAGGAGTTAATTAATCAGGGACAGTTCTGTCCCTTCAAAAGTGCAGCCCATATTCATTTAGCAATTGATCATTTATTTTTTTTCTCCAGTCATGATTTCCCTAATCAATTTATCAGATAGCCTTTATTAATAGAGCTGCCAGCTTTTTCATCAATCCTTTTTTCTCTTCTGCCCAGAGATCCAAACACCCATTACAGGTAAAAAAAATGGAGTTTATAAATAGTTAATTAGAAGAGAATGTCCCAGATCAACAAAAGCACCAGTTTATTTTATAAGCAACATATTAGCACCAGCTCTGACCAGTTTATCCAAGCTAGAAGTGTCTTAAAGAGTTGTGTCAGTTCCAAGAAAAAAAAAATTTAAAAATCATGGAGAAGTACAAACAAATGGAATGCTTATGAAGAAAGCAGGTTTAGTGTTCATTTAGCTGTGTCAGTCAAATGGATTTCATGCAAACAGCTTTCAATTCTGAACAGAGTTAAGAGAAAAACACACCTGAGATTCAATAATCCATTATTTATAAAAATAACAGATCAGTTTTAAGACCATCCATGAGCTGATAATCTGAATTTTTCAAATTTCTTGCTAATACAAAGGGCACTCCCCAACCCCCCAGCATTTGCTGACACTCTCACCTCACAGCTGAACTCCATCTCAGCATCCACTGTTATAACCCTGACTTTAAAAGTTTTTGGTTGTTTCTTCTTCAAGCCTCTGATGGACATATTTTTCAGCTGATGAGGGCAGCCACACCTGAAATCAAACATTGAGGGATGGAAATTCAGCAGCATTTTCTTGGTTTGATTCCAAAGAAGGATGAGTCCAAACGTGCAGAATAAAGTCACCTTTAGAGATGCATTTTTTGTGTCTAATGAGGATGTTGAAAGAAAAAACCTTGAAAATTAGGTTGCTCCTTAAAGTTAGTCAGAAAATGTTATTGCTGTTTTTTCTCAGATTTTTTGGGTATCACAAATAAAATTCTCTTTCTCAAGGGTCTCTGCAGCATCTCCACTCAGTAGAACACCAGAAAATGCAGCTAAACTTTATGATGTCAAATCCAACACAATCCTTTTCCACCAGTTATGGCTCCTTCAGCAACTAAACTATTGGATTTCTTTATAACATGAGATTTTAATTCCCTGAAATTATACAAATGGCAAGAATATGTGCATTGAAATTCAGCTGAATTCACCACATTCTCTTGTGCTACTCACTCATGATGATAAAAGTTATTTAGGACAGGAATTTTACCAGTGAAGTTCTTGTGAAATTAATTTAATTTTGCAGAAGCTGTCAGAAAATTCCATCAAAAATCTTCTATTTTAAACGTAATCACCTCCATGCCACCCAAAAATTGAGGAGATGCTGCTTCCAGAGGCACAAGGGGGTTTTGTGGAAATCAAATATTGAAAGCTGGAGTTAAAGAATGGTGTGGATCTGCTCCAGACAGTTCTCAGGCATTTCTTTCTGAGCACAGGAAATCAGCCTGTAAAGGTTTCTGCTTCTTTTTACTTTATAAAATTAACAGGTCAGACTTGTATAATGTAGTGAGAATCTATGAACTGTACAGGGCAAGAGACTGAGGCATTCCTGGTTTCCTGCAATATAAGACTATTACAGTGTGGCACAATTCCAATCTCTCCTTGAGGAATTCCAAAATAAAGCCCTAGTTTCAACTGAAAATTTCCATTTGCCTGCACCTTCCAGGATTTTATAAAATATTTTGCTCTTTTTCTGCTGAGCTCTAAATTGCCTTGCAAATATATTGATTTTCCACTTATTTTGTTTGTGCCCTTCACCCACAAGTTTTGAATGGTTTAGGAGCTGAAACAGATATGGAAGGTTTTTTTACAGATTCTAGGGAAGTTGAGGCAGGGAAGAGATAAAATATTTACCAAATCATAGGGACAGAGCTGAGAACAAATGATTGAGACAACTCAGAGAGGGGAAGATGAGCTCAGGAGGAAATTCATCCTTCTGACACCACTGGGACCAGTTGGGGAATCCTCTCCCTCCAGTTGGCTCTGGTGGAGCTTCTGTTGAAGTCCTGTTTGGGTTTGGGCACCACTTCTGGAAATTCTGGGAAGAGAGAGTCCAAAGGAGAGGTCCAAGGGCTACAAAATCATCTGTGGTAGGATAAAAGCACTGGTTAGAACAGAGGAAAGACAAGTGCTGAGACATTGGAATGGCTGCTCCTCAGGACATGGAATAATGGGCTTCATGAAGTGGCAGACTGAGGAAAATTCAAGAATAATCAGGATATTACAGTGCTGGAAAAGCACAGGATGGAATTTGTCTTTCTGAACTTCCCCCCAAAACAAGTGACAGAATTATCCTTGAGACAGGAGGGACCTAAACCCTCAAAACTGCCCCCCAAGCAGTGCCCAGCCCCAAAAACCAGTGAAACCCAAGGAACAGCACAGCCAGAGCCCAAACCCCATCACCCCCAGGGTACCCTGCTCCTCAGGGATTCTATTTTACAGTGAAAAGCAGATCTTGCCATAAACTTTCCTCTATAATTTAGGCAGCTCAATGCACCCAACTGAGCAGAGCTCAGGTTCTTTCTATTTAGCACAACAAGGAGTTTTTAATTAAGGAAAAAGGGAATATTGAAAACCTCCAAAATGACCACAGCAATATATGACAGGGAGAGCATCATGTAAGGGCATCCAAACCAGCAGTAAATTACCACAGGCATTTGTTGATCTCTAATCTGCTAAATTAAATTTTAACCTGTTGCATTCCAAAGCTCTTTTCCATCAATTTTCTTCAAAATTCTAAATAATTGTACCATTGGATATAGCATTTCTAGCCTGAGAACTACTGAGACTTCTACACAAAATTGGAAATAGTTTTATTAATAGTTTCTAGAAGAAACATCAATGGCTGAAAACCAAGGAGAAAAAAGCTTCATAATTCATTTTTAATATGTAACCTGAAGCAGCCAGCTGAGTTAAACAGGAACTTGGAGTTAGGGCCAGTACAGAACATTCTCAGAGTTTCATATGGAAAATTCTGAACAGATAAAATTGAGCAGCTGGAGAAAAATGTACTAATTTTCTCAAAATATGAGAAAAATACCAGAGCTTTTCATTTGGACTTTGAAGTTATTTCTTTTTTCTTATATAACCAGGTTGAAACGACAATATAATTTGTTCAACATTTCCAATAGCATTTTTTTTGTTCTTTCCATAATTTTTATTCCATGGAAAAGTACATTCTGACTCACAGCAAAAAGACATTTTTGAATATCAAATTTTCCCCAGAAAAGTAAACTGCATTTTAATCAATAGCACTGGTAAAGAAATTGGAAAGGATTTTCACACTGAATAGCTGAAATGAATGTCAGATCCTGACAACAGAAGCAAGAGCATTTAGAAAGACAAGATTTTAGAAAAATAATCTTTTCAAATAAGAGAAATCTTGCTGAAAAAAAAAAAAAAAACAATCTGGATTGCAATTTTTTGTAAATACAAAAGGAATCCCTTCCCTAGATCCCGGCTACCAACAGCCTTTAAGTGGGAATCAATGCTCCAAGGCAGAGTTCCTGACACCCAGCTCCAGTGATTTATTCCTGCAGGTGCCACAGGGACCCAGAAGGAGCAAAACGTGATGGACCAGAGCGTGAATGCAAAATAGGGCAGAGTGATAAAAGATTCCTGCCCAGCCAGAACCTGGGAACAGAGAGTTCAGGAGCTGGGCAGGAGCACAGGGAGGTGATAAAAGCTTGGGGTGGGGAGGGGAACAGAAAGGCAGCGAGGGGGAATTAAACGTGAAAGAACAACACAGCCCCAATTCTCTTCATGGCCAGGATGAAAGGAGGAGCATCCAGCAGCTCCGGATTTGAGTGTTCTCCCTCCTGGACAATGAGAAAGCAGGAGCAAAGCGTGGGGGTGCAATGGGAACTGGGGAGAGCAGGAAGAACTGGCCAGGTGAGCGTTGCAGCAGCGATGCTGATCTGGGTCACAGCACAGCTCTGTGCTTTGATCCACGCGGGGAGGAACCCACCCAGCACACAGCGCTCACTCACAGAGAGAGAGAGAGAAAAGTGAAATCAGCGTCAGCACACGCTCACCGAGCTCAATAAATCCACCACAACTCAGCACCTTGTACACAAATATCTCAAGCTGCCCAAGAGCGAGAGTGTAATTTATGCTCGGTTTAGCTTTTCCAAGGTGAATGGACGGGGCTCTGCAGGGTTCTCCACGGGGAGTAAAAACTTCCCTTCACGTGGCGCTGGCTCTCAGTGACAGCTATCCCCATCCATCACACTTGGGGCAGCCACACTCGAGTGAAAAATCATCTGTTTTCACACACACACAAAATCCAGCAGCACTTTCTAAGGTGAGAACTCAAGCGCAGACAAGCAAAGAATTAATGGCAATCGAGAGCCCTCTCTTACACCCCCCAAATTTATCTGTTCTTAAGGATCAGCATCATCCTTTTACAGGAGCTGCAAATATAAAACCTTTGGGAAAGCAATGAGCATTCAAGAGACAAGGCTTGGGAATTTCTTTCAGAGCCACCAGCAGAAGATGCTTGAAGCATGCACTGCAAAAGCACATTAACACAGCCACTACTACAGTTTGAAAGAGTGTCATCGCTGAAATATTTACTGCAACTCCGAATGGCAAATTCCCCTGACTCATTATGTTTCTCCCAGCTCCTGAATTTCCATACTCCAGCTCAGAAATTAATGCAAGCGATTTGAATGCAGACAACACAGGCGAGCGTCGTGGGCTTTGTGCAGTTGTTGACTCACGCTCCTGCCTGTGCTCCCTGCCCGAGGAACAATTTAAGCAAAGAATTCACTGCTTGAAAATGGGTCAGCAAGATAAAGGGTTTTCTTACCCCTCACTCTAAAAAAGAAGTTATCTAAAGTCAGCAGCTGGAATCGAGACTTACCTCACTGATCTTTTTTTGAATGACGATAAGAAGGGGGAAAAAAATTCCCTTTTAATTCAAAAACTCAGTATTTTCCCCGCAGACATCAATATCCAGCCCTCACAAGTTCTGCCACTGAGAATAAAATCCAAGAACAACTTTTCTACTTGATCCCTTTCCCTTTGTTTCCATGAACTGCAGCATGTTAGCGCCCTCTGAAAAATCAAAGGATTGCTTTCCCAGGTGATAGGAACGGCTCTTAACCATTTCCTGCCTGCACTAGAGCTCCTCCCAAATTCCCTGCTCTGGAATTCAATAACCAGGCACTAAAATAAGAGAAACCCACGAGTTTTGGCTTGGATAGCTGTAAAAAATTGATAAGGAACTTCCGAATAACTCCTTGGATGGAATCTGATCAAATTATTTCAGCAGTGTCTCCTGGTCTCCCCATATCAGCCACCTTAAGAAAGGAAACTGCCTGGAGTTGTGCTGTTAATTAAATATGATTCCCTACCTGTCCTCTTCCTGTCCTGTGGGACACCCACACAAAAAAGAGAACAAGGCTCAAAATTGGGCAGCAGCCAAAATACCAGCAGAAAGTGGTGAGTGAGTATATTTAAATAAAAACACAGATGGCCTCAGCCTGAAGTCACAGGGAACAACCAGGAGCACTTTACCTCAAAGTCCAATAATTTTGCCATTATTCAGTTTCTAAGTGGTTTGGGTTTTTGTGGTTTTGCTTTTTTGGGGTTTTTTTGTTAACCCCCCATTTTATACGCAGATTTACAGACACTGGTTATCAGCCAGGTTATGGATAGCAAGGACAGGCCAGCTCTGACTCTATATCTAGTATAATTATTCCAGATTTATATGGAAAACTTTCAAGATTTGATCACTTAACAGCAGGGGGAAGAGTACAACACTTGTTGATGTGCAAAAACCTCCAAGAGGCTGCACTGAGAGTTACTCCATCTCCAAAATTCCATGTCAAGGTGTCCCTCAACACCCACGCCTGCATTTGTTTGGAAGAGGAGGCTCAGGGAGGAATCTCTTCACTCTCCACAATGACCTGAGAGGAGGCTGCAGTCAGGTAAAGTCACTCTTCTGCAGTTCTTGTGTGAGAAAACAAGAAAAAAACAACCTTAAACTGAGACGGGAGATCCAGATTAGATGTTAGAAAAAAAGTTTTTGCTGTTTGGACGGTCAGGCACAGGAATAGGTTGCCCAGGGAGGTGGTGGGGTTGGCATCCCTGGATAAATGTCTGGATTGTGCTGGATGATGTGGTTTGGGGTTATAGCAGCTGTGCTGGGTACACAGTTGGACTTGAGATGCAAATAATCACAGAATATCCTGATTTACAAGAGATCCATCAGGAACATCGAGCCCAGCTCCTAACAGTGCACAGAACATCCCAGGAACCCCATCGTGTATCTGAGTTCTTGAGCTCTGCCAGGTTTGGTACCATAACCACTGCCCCAAGGAGCTTTTCCCAGTACTCCACCATGCTCCGGGTGATAAACTTTCCCTGATATCTAACATAAATTTCTCCTGACTCAGCTCCAGCCATTTGCTGTCACACATGAGACAGAAGAGATCAGTACCTGCCTCACCCCTTCCCCTCATGAGAATATTGAAGACCACAACGAGGTCTAACCTCAATCCCATCTTCTCCAAGCTAAACAAACCAAGTGACCTCAGCCATTCCTCTTAAGGCCTCCCTTACAGACCCTCCACCATCCTTAAAGGATCTTTAAAGCGCTTTTAGGGAATCTCTTCCAACTTTAACAGCGCTTTACCCACACCCCCGCACTGGCTCCTCCCTCACCGCCTCTGAGGGGGCGGAGGAGGGCGGCCCCTTTAAATAAGGTCGGGAAGCCCCGCCCCCTTTGGCCCCGCCCCTGGCCCCGCCCCTTCCCTCCGCGCGGCGTTTCCGTGCTCGGCACCGCCCGTTCCGGGCCCGTGTCTTTAAGGCCCCCGAGGCTCGGCGGCGGCAGCGGCGGTGAGAGGGGCCGGGGCTC